TCTATGAGCTGTCTCGGAAACGTGTTTTAACAGCCGTTGTTTAGCAGTGGACGCCCCTCAGATATTCTGGCAGATTTTCGTTGCAGTGGGAACTGCAGTAACGCCGACTTTCATTCCCGTGGTAACGTCTGACAATGTATGCATTGTCGCGTTTACGTGTTTGCAATTGTCGCCTAGGCAAAGAGGTATTCACTGTTCCTTGTATTGGAAACATAGTTACTGAGTCGTTGTCTAGCAATGGACGTCTCTCTATGAGCTGTCTCGGAAACGTGTTTTAACAGCCGTTGTTTAGCAGTGGACGCCCCTCAGATATTCTGGCAGATTTTCGTTGCAGTGGGAACTGCAGTAACGCCGACTTTCATTCCCGTGGTAACGTCTGACAATGTATGCATTGTCGCGTTTACGTGTTTGCAATTGTCGCCTAGGCAAAGAGGTATTCACTGTTCCTTGTATTGGAAACATAGTTACTGAGTCGTTGTCTAGCAATGGACGTCTCTCTATGAGCTGTCTCGGAAACGTGTTTTAACAGCCGTTGTTTAGCAGTGGACGCCCCTCAGATATTCTGGCAGATTTTCGTTGCAGTGGGAACTGCAGTAACGCCGACTTTCATTCCCGTGGTAACGTCTGACAATGTATGCATTGTCGCGTTTACGTGTTTGCAATTGTCGCCTAGGCAAAGAGGTATTCACTGTTCCTTGTATTGGAAACATAGTTACTGAGTCGTTGTCTAGCAATGGACGTCTCTCTATGAGCTGTCTCGGAAACGTGTTTTAACAGCCGTTGTTTAGCAGTGGACGCCCCTCAGATATTCTGGCAGATTTTCGTTGCAGTGGGAACTGCAGTAACGCCGACTTTCATTCCCGTGGTAACGTCTGACAATGTATGCATTGTCGCGTTTACGTGTTTGCAATTGTCGCCTAGGCAAAGAGGTATTCACTGTTCCTTGTATTGGAAACATAGTTACTGAGTCGTTGTCTAGCAATGGACGTCTCTCTATGATCTGCCTCGGAAACGTGTTTTAGCAGTCGTAGTCTAGCAACGGTGCCCGCTCAAATATTCTGCCTTTTAGGCTGCAGATATATATTGTGACATGTCAACCCGTTTTGGGTCGACGGGACGTGGAACGAGTTATCACGAAGACGGACTTGATAAAAAGTCGATTGCTAAGTTAGGTAACAGTGGAACGAGATTATGCAACCCGCTTTCTGAATTCAGTTGTCTCTAAGAGTGGGCAAGATAGTGAGAGTGTTATATTCCTTTGACCGCCTCTGTAGTCTAGTGGTCAGAGTTTCTGATTATAGATCCAGAGGTCTGCTTGATCTACTACTACTACTACTACTACGTACACGTATATCGTAGTTGAAAAACCATTTCACTCGTATTCTGTATATGTGTATTATTGTTCGCTTTATACACACAGGATCAAAGTACAGAAGAGTACTATACTGCGAGTTGTAAAGCCATTTGGTCTGCTAAAATTTTCTTTCTTTCCTTGGTGCTAGAGCCTCGGTGGACCTAGGCCTACCTCCATGAACTTCTCCGTTCACTTCGGTTTTTCCAGATCTTACACATACGGTAGGACTCCTTGGGCGGGTGATCAGCTTGTCGCAAGAAATCTACCTGTACACAAACACAGAAAAACGCATACACACAAACTAAACATCTATGCCCTGAGTGGGATTCGAACCCATGATCACGGTTTCCAAGAGAGCGAAGACAGTACACGCCTTAGACCGCTCGGCTATCATACTCGTAGATTCTTAGGGTTCTAAAATTTCATTGAACAGTCTTAATCTGTTGATTCCCGTTGTAAACTTGCTCATGAATCTCGACAACTTCCCAGAGGTGTCTTCTCATTGCCTTAGCGTCCCCGGAGTTTATCACTAAGTTGATTATTGTCATCAATAAGTTCTTGACTTCGTCCTCCATGTGAATGGACTCCAACTCCACTTAACATTTTTCTAACACTGTCTGGACTATAGAGCTGTCCCTTTTCTCTACATTACCTGTTCTTGGTTCAGATATTTGATTTCTGCTGCTATCCGTGGTCATCTTCCTTTGCCTTCACCCGGGCTACATCAGATTTGCTGGCTCGGGGCTTCATTGTTTTCACTTGTCTCTGTGCTACCCCAGTCCTTTTGTCTTCTTGTCATTTCAAGAGGAGGCAAGTTTATCATATTCAGGTTCAACGTATCCTCCGAAATTATCAGCACCTGAAGAGAATTCAGGATTCGACTGGCCGGGTTGTGATCATTTTCAAAAATTTTCCGTGCTTAAAAAATCCAACATTTCTATGAGCCATGATTTGGTTGAATTCATTCTGCTTTTAAATCATTGGACATTGCTCGCTGTTTGCTCTGTGACTACCATTAAATTTATGTATTTTTAATCAAGAGTCTTCATATTTGGCTTCTTCGCATAAAAAGCAGTGTTGTTACTTCGTACAAAATTTACTTCTGTGACGAAATTTCCGACATTTGTAACATTGTTGTACTGCTGCAACAAAAGAAGAAACTTCAATTTTTATATTGCAGAAATATACATGAAGAGCTAATGCCACACATACTGCCCTCAACTCCTTCACCCAGCATTCTCACTCAGTCTCAGGGCTGCTCCGTTCGCCTCTCACCTGATCTGACCTCTTCTCAATTCTCCTCTGTTCTCTGTGTCCTTAATTCAAAGTCAAAGTCAGAGTCACATTGCGACTGACGGTGAGTCAGTCAGTCAGTCAGTCTTGGTGTCGAGCCCAATCTGGGGCTTATGACCAGATATTTATTACTGATGCCGGTCACTGTAGCCGAGCGGTCTAAGGCATGCACTGTCTTCGCTCGCTCGGAAGCCGGGATCGTGGGTTAGAATCCCACTCAGGGCATGGATGTTTGTGTGCCTTTTTCTGTGTTTGTCTATAGGTAGAGGCCTTGCGACGAGCTGATCACTCGCCCAAGGAGTCCTACCGTATGTGTAAGATCTAGAAAAACCGAAGTGAACGGAGTTCATGGAGGTAGGCCTAGGCCCACTGGGGCTGTAGTGCCAAGGAAAAAAAATATTACTGATAGAGAGTTACGGCCTTGTATTTTTGGAGCGCCCTCTCTAACGAGAGGACGGGTCTGTCTTTTCTACAATATATACTACTGGCTCTTACCAGCGCAGCCTTTCTCGGGTACAAGTTCCTTAGGACGGTCTAGAAGACACATTGTTTGAGGGTCCCGTTTCATGTGTTCTATCCGAAGGTAATCAATGTGTATTCGTTGCCGGTGGAAATTCACTAGTTCTGTTTTTTCACTTGCGCGGCAACATCTGTTATGTGTGCACTGTCTCGGAAACGTGTTTTAACAAACCTTTATCTAGCAATGGACGCCCGCTCTGACTCAAGATATTCCGGTTTTTAGGCGGCTCGCCACAATTCATTCATCAGTAATCTGTCAGACGATAGGTCCACATTCTTTTCCAAAACAGTTCCTCCACTTAATGCGATGCAGAGCTTTCTCCTTCAAATAAAAATATCCTCCTCTGTCCCCAAGGTCATCCAGCATCTTCTTACGTCTTTTTCCTCGTCTTCTGGTCACTTGTATCCGCCCCTCTCTCGCATACATGGTATCTCTGATTTTGGAAAGAGACTATCCAGGAAAAGTGATAATGTGGTAGTTTTTCCATTTGCTTTCCACATCGCAGTACAACAGGCGTTCAAACCACTCTGGTCACGCCTGTTGCTATACGAACTTGAACCATCTCGAGCATCATTTGTTCTGTGCTTCAAATCGCTGCTGATGACGCCGGTTCCGGCACCAGTTTTTGGTTTTTGGTGTCTCTCTTCGTCTGATGCCTACCCTTTGACCTGTCCAGCAAGGGAGGCCCTGCCAGTAGCTACGCTACCGCTGGTATAGCTCTCAGGGTCCTTGGCATACTCAAACCCCCTCACCACGATAAGGTGGAGACACCAAAATATCCTTGGGTATATCTTCAATGGCTCCTTTTTTACGTATAATAACGATATCTCTTGGTGTGTGTGCTGTTAGCCCTTAGTTTTGGATGATAGTGCTGTCCAAAACTTTATTTGCTGCCTTGCTCTCTGAGAAGGTTACTTCCCAAATAAACCGGGCATATTTTCTAATGGATTGGAAACTGACCTTGGATTTAGCCATAACACTGAAGATGTCAAATTGCCTCCACTTCTCTTCCTTTTTTCTCCTATTCACACCTCCGTACTGTAAAACAACAATTAGCCTAATCGAGTTTACAAACTTTTTTATTTTGAGAGAAATTCATTTATATATAAAATCGACCTACGCAATGCCCATCCGACCCTCTGTAGTACAGTCTCATAAACACCTTATTCTATCATAGCTGTCGCCCCTCGATTCTTAATTAGTATCTTAACTTAAACCTGAGTGTATACTATTATTATTTTGTGCATTTACTCCTTTTTCTTTTCTTACGTATCTATTTTCAAATAAATATAGGAATGTTTTTAATCAAGCAACAGACGCCTTGCAGAAATCCTTTTTCCCTAGTCTTAAGAGATCTGTAACTGACTTTGGGTATTCTTTTCTGCTTTTCATGGACAGAATGTCCATCACTGTTGCTCGTTGGTCCTCTAAGTCTGCAGAAATTATTGATATTTTGGAGGAATGTACTGCCTCCATCTTCAGGCTCGAATATTAAGACAAGCCTGCAAGTGAAGATGCAGGCAGTACGTTCCTCTGAAGTATCAGTAACTCTTGCCAGACTACACGGCTTCACATTCCAGATGTCATGAGCACTGTCATGACAACCTTGTCTCTTGTATTTCTATATGAAAGCAGGAAGAGAGCCGTTGGTAGTTAAAGCAAACTAATTACGTTACCACGGCAATGAACCAACACGCAGCAATAAAGGAACCCGCTGATAAGTAAAGCCTCAACCTAACCCACGGGGACGATGTCCTCTAAGCGGTAAGTGCCTTATCTATATAAGGACGACTGACCGTCTTTCGTAACATAATCAAGTCTTCATTAGCTTCAATAGCTTCGTAGAAGGGGCGACAGAACAAAATGAGAGAAATCATACATATCCAGGTTGGCCAGTGCGGCAATCAGATCGGTGCCAAGGTAAGGATTTACACAGGCTGAATGTATAAGACATTTGAAGTCCTTTTAATAGTAATTGTGAGTCGGGATAGCGCACTCGGTATAGCTACTGGCTGGGTGACCGAGTGGTCGGAGTTCGAGTCTCGGTGTGGTCAAGATTTTTCTCTTCACGCCGTCCAGACCTGATCTAGGGTGCACGTAACCTCCTATGAAATGGGTACCGGCGACTTTCTCCTCGGGAACAAAGCAGCCTGGGTGTGAAGCTGACCACTAACCTGAAACTTGTGCCGAAGTCAAGAAAATATGGGTCTCTACTTCCACTCCCCCATACTCCTTCATAGCGTAATACTTTCTTAGTTAAGTACAGGGACAACTTTACCTTTAATACCCGTAATAATTTCCGTGCATATAATATTGTTCGGTCTTTGGTAGTGATATATGGGGATTACATAATCATGAACGAGTATTATGTATAAAGAGGAAGTATGTTCTTTGGATTGCATATACTAGGATGGGGTTCGAAAATTATTTCTAGAAAGGAAAGAAGTATTTTTTTATTCGCATAGTGGGGGGTGGAGTCCAGCTGGGTCCACTCGGCACGGCGTCCACTGATTGGCCTATTGTAACTGCCCGGGTGATTATGATGATGGAGAATTTGGTGGAATGAAGATTTGCAGGGGAACCCTTAGTACTTGGAGAAAACCCGCCACATCGCCAATTTGTCCACCACAATTCACTTGACCAGACCCGGGATCGAACCCGGGACGCCGTGGTGGGAAGCCAGCGACTAACCTCTTGAGCTGTGGCGCGGCCAAGGAATGCAGTATATTAGAATCAACTGGGCCTTTTTGACTAAATGCGTATTTCTTTATCCCGGGGAGAGGGGCAGGTTGATGTATTGTCACATGGTTGCGTGACTATAGAGGGGTTTTGGATTAATAAGTAGATTTATTGATCACTCACAGGATATAACAATTATCTTGCTGATTTTCACACTACTAAGCACTTAACAAGTCGTCTCTGTCTGTTTCCACTCGCCACTGCTCGTTAACAGACTCAACAATGTCTGTTCCTCTGCATAGTTTTCATTAGACGTTTACTGATGACGTATTGTCGCGTATCGGGCGTATATCGCGACAAATAACTTCTCGATGTATTTGATGTAGCGAATTTTATTTCACATTCGCACTTACAATGACACAAATTACAGATTCACGATTACTGCTATCTGCAGTATCACAAATAGTACACTCCAAATGCCAGAATACAACTGACTAGTTGCTGGCTAACTCGGCGGTAGCACCAGGACTCACTGACTGACTCAGTACAACTGACTGTGAATAGCCTTCGCTGCTCCTTATGTAACCTCGATCGGACAATACGGCCACGTAATAGGCACCCTTGTTGCCTGGCGCTGTGTTGCTATGTAACGCTAGCGGAGGTAACCGCTGTTACTACCGTAACGTCGCCGCTGTTGACTCGCGTTGCCTAGCGACCGCGATATCCCTCGGTGACGTCACCGCGGAGGGGAGTGGCGGGGCGGGAACTCGCCTATTACCGTAGTAACGCGAGCGTTACGTTACCGCCACGTACCGCTGGGGAGGTAGGGGTCAACATGTCACAGTATCTTAGGGATTGAGATTCTTCAGCTTCCGTTATCCGCTGGTTAACACTCCACAGTTTGGCACTGAGCTCAACTGAACTGCTTGTAGCGTCGACTGTCCTCAAGATGACCCCTTGCCACTAACCCCACGGAAAGCACTGTTTTCTGTTTTGAAGAATTCCTGTTCATTGGCCCGTTACCTAGCAATGGATATATGCAAACCACATAGAAAACACTTCTTGCGACGCCGGTTCTGTTGACTCGTTCACATATTTCGTGCGTTGCCTTGAGTTGGGTTTTCCAAGTAGTCTGAAAATATTTAATTAACACATATGTGTTTACCGTCAACGCAACCATAGCGTCCCATTGCATAGGCAACACGAAACAGACCGACAGACCGTTGCTAGGAATAACCGTGGCAACGATTTATGGAAACAGAGTGAATACTGCAGTTCCACGGTTTCAATAAACCGTTTCCACGGTTATTCCTAGCAATGGTCTGTCGGTATTCTATTTGTCGCTGTGGGAACGCAGCAGTTTCCATTGTATTGGTTGTCGCAGTGTTGGAAGTAATAAAAGTTACATTACTTTATATAGGACGCACTATATGTTTCGACCTCAATTGGGTTATCTTCAGGCGCTGCAATTTTTTCACATACTACACGTATTACCGAATTGCAACGATAATATTCCCATTTCATAAATGTGTCGTACAAGTTAACTTCTCTTTAATTCAGAAAGTAGACAAAACTGGGACTGGACTTTGGTTAAAATTAACAATAAAGTACAATATCTATATAAATAAAAATCGTACATATGATAAAGTCGTAAACATAATATTGTATCGTGTTTCGTTATTGAAGACGCCGTAGAGATTGTTAATTGATTTATTCAATAACCTACAAGTAACGGTTACAATTAATTATCACACAGTTGCGGGGTTTCACACTTTATAACCTTATCGCAAATCAATTCACTCTGTCTTCAGTAGTCTACGCGTTTACAGTACAGGAGCTATGTAAGTGTCCCTGTATCACACACTCCCAATTACAAAACTACACACACGCCCGGTTTTTCTTTCCGCGAAAGCTGCTATACTCCAACTGTAGGCTGCTGACTGGAGAGATGTCTTCGGCGCTGATACACTTTAACTCTCTCGGGGGACGGCTACAAGTTAACTCGACTACAACTGAACTTGGCGATGGCCACATTTCAACTCACTCACGCTTACTGCTCAGCCGGCTTTTATTCCGTTCGCTGTTGCCTGTTGCCCGCGTCAACAGCGTCGTTGCGTGCCAAGACACAGTCTCTGCGTATAGCCTAGCAACGCTGTTACCTCACGCTGTCTTACGTCACCGCGCGTTGCGCGTTACTTCACCGTGCGAAGGGGGGTTACGGAGCGTTGACTCACCCGCCGCGTCACTGCTGGTGGGGGCGAGTTTCTCCGTTGCGCAACATGTCACAATATATTAAAACTCCGTGACCTGTAGTCCCCAAGCGAACTATATTAACAAACGACCGCCGCTTGTCGGCGAAGTTAGTGCTAACTTTTCCGTGTCGTGTGGTCAGCACAACGAATCGCCACGGCCGTTAATCTCGAGTTTTTAGATTTGAGCCCCCATTTCCTTGAAATAGGTCCTCAGATATGTTCACGAGGCTGAGTAGAAACCGTTCCAGACCAACTACTTCTCAGAAAATCGGGTAGTGGAAGGAATCGAACCCGGACCTCTGAAGCTGTAGCCAGGGACTCTGAACCCTAGACCATAGAGGCGGTCAACAATATGTTAAACCGAATTTGAAAATTTGGTGATCCTAAATCCACAAATAGATGTTTAAAAACGATTTAAATACGACATTTCAAAATGTTATATAAGCTGCAAGTACTTTCGTGTTTTTTACTGCAGCAGACCACGCCCAGGCTTCGTCACTTCTTTCTACTGTTTGCTGCATTGGCTCGCCATGTTAGTATCGTAATGTTGCCGCATAACATACTGGCTCCCGACAACATGAAAGAAGAGGGATCTATTCTCTGGAAAAAGGGCAACATTAGGATACTAACAGCTATGGCTGTCTGAACCCCATGGGCAAAAATTAGCAAAAAAGAAGTTAACGCATCGACAAATGAGAACATTTTTAGATTTATGAATGACTACTTTGGTGGACCTCAAGTTTATCTCATATTTCTTTATGTTCAGTTCTGGGAGGACATCTCTGACGAGCACGGTATCGACCCAACTGGTGCCTACCATGGTGACTCCGACCTTCAGCTTCAGAGAATCAATGTCTACTACAATGAAGCATCCAGTGGAAATTACGTACCCCGAGCCATAATGGTGGATCTTGAACCTGGCACGATGGATTCTATCAGATCCGGGCCTTTCGGTCAAATTTTCACACCTGACAACTTCATCTTTGGTGAGAGTGGTGCTGGCAACAACTGGGCCAAGGGTCACTATACTGAAGGTGCTGAGCTGGTCGACTCGGTGTTGGATGTGATAAGGATAGAAGCGGACCGTTGTGACTGTCTGCAGGGTTTCCAGCTGACCCACTCCTTGGGAGGTGGAACTGGTTCTGGCATGGGAACATTACTTCTGTCCAAGATCATTGAGGAGTATCCAGACAGGATGTTATGCACGTACTCTGTTATACCTACACCAAAGGTATCGGAAACTGTCGTTGAACCTTACAATGCGGTACTGTCTGTCCATCAGCTTGTTGAATTTACTGATCACACATTCTGCATTGACAATGAGGCCCTCTATGACATTTGCTCCAAGACACTGAAACTCAAGACTCCCACATATGGTGACCTGAACCATCTAATCTCGCTCACAATGTCCGGTGTGACAACGTGCCTGAGGTTCCCAGGTCAGCTGAATGCCGACCTCCGGAAACTTGCTGTCAACATGGTCCCTTTCCCACGTCTTCACTTCTTCATGCCAGGTTTCGCACCTCTCACCTCCCGTGGTTGCCAACAGTACCGAGCACTGACAGTACCAGAACTGACTCGACAGATTTTTGATGCCAAAAACATGATGGCTGCCTGCGATCCAAGTCATGGCCGTTACCTCACAGTTGCTGCTGTCTTCAGAGGACGCATGTCAATGAAAGAAGTTGATGAGCAGATGTTGAGCATCCAGAACAAGAACAGCAGCAACTTCGTTGACTGGATCCCTAACAACGTGAAGACTGCGGTTTGTGACATCCCACCCAGAGGACTCAAAATGTCTGCAACCTTCATTGCTAACTCGACTGCCATCCAGGAGCTGTTCAAGCGTATCTCAGAGCAGTTCCAATCCATGTACAGTCGCAAGGCTTTCTTGCACTGGTACACCGGTGAAGGCATGGACGAGATGGAGTTCAGCGAAGCCGAATCAAACATGAATGACCTGGTGTCTGAATACCAACAGTACCAGGAGGCAACTGCCCATGAGGATTTAGAGTTTGACGAGGAGGAGGAAGTTGACAATTGAGTGATATATATGTATTATTCAAATTTTAAAATCAGGGTGACATGTTACAGCACCAGTATTATATGGAAACTGTTCTTCGTGCCCAGTTGCAATGGACTAATTCACAGTAAGCCGAATTATAGGCAATTTTCTTAAAATGGCTCATTTGAATGAATTGCTTGCGCCATATTGAAACAGTTCTATAAGACAGGTCAAGTTTAATTCACGAAATTTATTATTTCGTATTCTTTTGAGAAAAATATTGGGCACTGCTGTTTACCTTTAATTAGAGCCAAGATCCATGTACTTGCAGACTGTAAGCTATTAATATCCCCTGATGTCCTCGCTACCAAAATCAAATCTCGTATATTCTATCCAAAACCTACATTCTTGGCATTCCTCAGGTGACTTCTGTGTACTACTAACACGGGCGCCAACCACGGCGACTCATTAGAGATAATAATTCCCTTAACCATGATCTCCTCTAGCTGGCGTCTCATCTCCTATTAATCGGAAGGGCGTCACCTCTCCGAACCTGACGAAATCCGTTGATCTAAGCAGAACTCTTGTGCTCTTTACAAACCCACTAATTACACTGGTACCACAATTCATATTTCCTAAGCCTAGGCATCCCTTTCTCTAGGCCCTCCAACCTCTGGAGCAAAAACTCGGCTCGCTACCGAGCCACATACGCATCCGGCGTACATCCTCCTAGGGGCTCAATTGATATTTCAACTGCAACTGCATCCCGTAACATTTTTCTATTTTCTCTGTCCCTCAGACGATGAGTGGAGGGTGATGATTAGCTCTTGAGCCGCAACGTTCCCGCAATCAATGTCGGATTCTCCCGGGTTCGAACCTGGGATGGATCTGCCGTCAGTTCGCCCTAAAATGTCGATCCCGGGGTGATCAGTCCTGTTCTCGACAATTTTCGGCAGCGGGCGTCCCTGTCGGTGACTAGTGTCTATCTTCACCACTTGCCCTCACACTCGATGACGTGTTCGTCACAGGACGGATGTACTGGTTCCCAAATCGACATGTGCCTCCATATATCTTGAGTACATCAACCCCCAACATGTCACATTACTCCCATCTCTAGACGAACTCTCAAAATCCGTGAGTACAAATTTTCCTACCATAAATACCGCCACCGGAGCTACCATGAATTTAAGTTTACTTCCAGTGATCCCTCTTGTAGTTGTCTATGTCATCCGAATTTCGGAAGTGTCAGTCTCTAGCTTTTTCCCTCTTAAACTGACTTTTGTGATTAATTCCTTGTGTTTGAACACAGGCAGAAAGCATCCCTTGGTCCGCCCCCTCGTGAATTTAAACGGTATCTCGTCTTCACAGTCTGTTTGATCGCTACACCGCGTTACACCATTGTTCAAGTCATATTATAACAATGAGCGGAGATGTTGCACACATTTTTCTATTATTTTTCATGACACGTACACAAAAATACCCTTACGAGGAAGCATAATATAGCCTTATCTTAAACAAAATAAAAGGACTAACACAATTCTCCACCAAGCTTAACAAATTTCTTGTGTGTATCAAAAGTCCCATTCTAGTTCTCATTAGTAAATATCTTATATGACGGTGCCTAAAATCTCCTAAACTTCTTTAGAAATCGATTTCCAGTCAGAATTCTATCTCTAAACACTTACATTTATAAACATTTTTATCTATCGTAACAAAATCAGCTTCGTACATTTACAAAAAGTTCTTTGCCAGCACCTAAACAAACATATCTACCTACTATAAATCCTTATGACTAATTACAGCGACACACAAATCAAAGCTTGTCTGCAAATCGAAGCTTGTCTGGCTTCCAGTCTCTTCTTACAAATATATTAACTCCCCAGAACACATAAAAGAACTGATTTTCCTGCCAACCAGGGAACAGCCACCTTTCATCTCTATACAGAAGAATATTATCAACAGAAAGCGTAGTTAGATGAAGAGTGAATATACAGCAGATTTGAACAATAACAACCAAACGGCATGTAGCGCCGTGCAGTCCGTTGAAAGTCAACCGACGTTTTCGAGTAAGATGTCGCTTTGAACTTCAGGGCCGAAGAACAAGCCATGGAAGAAACCAGCCTAAAAGCAAGTGGCAGCCTGGGCTTTTTGTAGGACCTGCAACCTGCGACTGAAGTTGTTATTAGCTTCCTAGAACTAAGTACCTCCATGGAGGAAGATACTTGTTGCGAAGCTGTTATTTGCTTAGTTTGTTAAGATATTTCTCTACTTCTGTGGAAATTGAAAGTAGGAATATATTTCTATGGTCACAAGAATCCGCTACTGATTCCTGTAATTATCCAGTTGCTTGTATTACATATATTCACTTCCTATTTATTTAATATCCATTTCTGAATAAACTTTTATGCATTTTTTATTTTCCTCCTGCCCGCTACATATCCAATCCATCTCATACCCTTTGATTTGGTCACGATAATAATGTGCTTACGAGTAAAATAGCCAAGGTTTCCACGTTAGGTGGTATAACCGCCACCTCGTCCGGTTAAGGTTGACGGAGCCGCGCTTCGAAAGTCGCCTTGTAGCTGTTTCGTTGATTGACATGATAATGTAGCCTAGCTTGGGGGCCTTTTACTTAGACGCTCTCTTACTTTGATGACGTCATTTGTAGCTGTAAATGTTGCCGCCGCTGGATAACCATGTAGTTACTGCCAAATGGTGGTTTCTTTAATTCAGGTGTCGTAAATGTTGGACGCCAAGTCTCTTGTCGGAAAGCAGTATACTCATGTAAGAGTCTTACACGGGACTTGTTTCGGCAAGTGAGTCGAACAAAATAAAAAACAATACATATCACTAAGGACTTAACAGCTTATTAGATTTTACCTCCTTTTACATCTCTATAAATACTTGTACTTCAATTTTGATACAGGTCGTTAGTGTGAGATTGTTGGTGACCTTAACATAGCACCATCCTTTGAATATTGTGTCTCGGGTGAGGCACTTGACCAAAGTATTACTTGTTTCAAGGTTCAGAGGCTTCTGTTTTATCACAGAGAGGTGCGTAATCCAGCAGGCGTACGCTAGCGTGAAGTAATACTCAGTTACCAACAGTCCCGTATATTACTAGTGAATTTACATGCTTTTCATGTATAATAATGTATAATTTCCTTATAGGCCTATGAGATCGACCAAAAATCTATAATTTTTTTTCACATAAAGGATATTTATCTGTATATAAGTGATACCAACTTAAGACTATGTAGTCTGTATATTATAATCAAAGCTTCTGGGCAAATTTATAAATTTAAATGCAGAGAGAACCAGAATATCATCCACGTAGAGAACCACATAGGTCTCAGTGTCACTACCCAGTGCTAGTTTTGAGAGGCCTTATGCATGCCAATAAGGAGTTCATCATAGTGTAACGTGTTTGGAATAGACACTTCCATGGTAACGCAATAACAATGAGCTGTTGCGTAGAGAACGCCGAATCTCCACGGAGATATACTGCTGGGCCTGCTAGGTATGTGTGGACCCAGCAGGCCCAGCAGTATAACACACGCAGTCACAGGAGCAAGACACAAAACAAAGCACAATACACACACGAAAGTAGAAAGAGTGCTCCGACAGAAGAGGATGGGTGTGACTCGCGTAGTGAGATACGACATAGGGATGAAAAATCCTGAACAATTTTAATATTTTTAACATTTAATATTTATCAATATATATGATAAATATATATTTTAGTTATTTTAATATGAAGATGGCAAGGCATGCAGTGAACTAGTTTAACGTAAATCGAATAGGCACCTGAAGATGGCACTTTTGTGCCGAAACATGTAGTGCGAGAGAGAGGAGTGAGAAACGTAGATGAGTGTATGCACTGGAAGACGGTTGAAATAAATCATGGACTTAAATCAGAGCAACAGGACGCTAAAATATAACACGAAACTCATTAATCAGTTATGCAAGGGTCCTTCACAATGTTGGAAACATTATTGTGCAAGCAAACTGAACAAATGAGCACGCCAATGAATCTCTTCAACCCCGACACTTAACAGATTAGCAAAATAATTCACGCATGCAGCATAACGGCGTGGAATGCAAACGGGCTGAGCCGACACATAAAAGAAGTAGAAAAATCTCTCAACACCCAGAAAACAGACGCCCTATTTGTATCCGAAACCCATTGTACGGATCGAAACTATGTAAATAACTCAAACTATATCACATTCGCTACCAAGCATCCGAATGTGAGAGCCCATGCAGGATCAACCATTACCATTAGAAAGGGATAAAAAATTACGAAGTAGCCAAATATGCAATGGACCACATTCAGGCAACAAATATAAGCTTCGAAGATTGGGATGGATATTTGACCATCTCAGCAATACACTGCCCTACACGCCGCACAGTTAAAATGGAACAATACAATGCGTCATTAACCCACGAGGACACAGATTTCTGATTGGAAGTGACTTCAATGCGAAACAAAAATACCGGAGTTTCCGCTTGATATTTCCTACATTTCGCGAACTATACAAAACCATTAGGGGAATCAACTAGAAATTCTATTCACGGCCGAACAACTTATTGGCCAAGAGATAGCATCAAAACTCCAGATATGCTATACTTCCTTATCTCTAAAAGGGCTATAGTGCAACTCCTTAGACATACGATCGAATCTAGAGAGACCATCCGATCACTTACCAATAATCCCCACCATCAGTACACATATTATAACTCACCAAGAATCACCAAACTGCCCAAGAGCCAAATAAATTGGGAAGTATTCAGAATTGATACCGACCAAAATTTACTATTCAAACTATTCAACATCCTGCTCAAACTTCGAAAGACATGGAAGACGCTACTGCAGGAATCACTAGCGCAATACACAGAGCAGTTTGGAGCGCTACACCAGCGACAAACATCAAATAGAATATCCAGAATACCCATGAGAAGTCAAGGACGGCATTAAGGAGAAACAAGTACTAAACAGAAGGCAGATGGGCCGGCATCCCCAAGATAAACGCATTTAAGTAGAAGCGGCTAGAAAATTAAGAGACCAAATACAAGGGATCAAAGATGAGATATTCCAGACATTACTTGAAAGGTTAACGGCGACATCTGACAGCGACTATTCATTCTGGAAGGCAACAAAAACTCGAAATAACCGACACAAAGCACCCCACTAATCAGAAAAGCGTAGCAGACCTGGACCCGAAGTGATAAAAGAAAGCGGGTACTTTTGCAAAACATTCAAACCAAATGAATTGCCACAAAAAGAAGACCTCGAAATAGAAATCTCAAAGCGCTGAAGGAACCATTACATATACATAGACAATCAAAATTCATACACAAAAGGAATTTCGAAACACAATACAAGAAAATCTCAATTCAAGGAAAGCCCATGGATATGTCCTAATTACATGCAGAATATTGAAATAAATTCCAGGAAAAGGCATTGTCCATGTAACAACTGTCCGCATCGCAATTATTAGGACGGGATATTTCTCAGTTCAGTGGAAAGTCACGCAGATCATAATGATCCCAAAACCTGGTAAACAACCAGAGAAGGCCAGATCATATAGACTGATCAGCTTACTCCTAACAATGAGCAATATCTTCAAAAAAGCTATGCTGAAGAGAATACGCCCGATACTACAAGAGAACCTAATCCTCTTGGGCAATCAGTTTTTTTCGACAGAGGCACTCTACACGGAATTACTGAGATAATACAAGGAACTTTAAATACAATGGAAAGGTACATCGTTCCTATTGTACCAGACAGACATAAGTAAAACACCAATACAAGGATTACAATGATACCTAAGTGAAAAAGACAGAGAAGTACTTGAATTACGCCACTGGGCATAACTCATTCTGTGCCGCTACTTATTGAACATTCACTTTTACAGCAGATTCTGCAAATTATGTGTAATAATCTATATAAATAATAAAAAAGTAATGGACCCAAATTAAAAAATCAACAACATAATAAGACAAATCTAAACACGCCCATATAACCTATTAAATTTTATGAACGACGATTCTTTTAAAGGATCTTTAATATCTCTCATAGTATATAGTACAACATGTGTAAATATTTACCTTAGCTCCAATCTGACTGCCGCACTGTCCAACTTGCAAATGCACGTACAATTTCCTTCATTTGTTCAGTCGCCTCTTCTATGAATATGGAATTCTGATCGCTGCAAGCAAATAGAAGTGAACTTGTTTGCTGCCGGTTATCCTCA